TAACTAGATAGCATGTTTTTCTTGCTGGTACATGAAATAACGATGCATTTTAGATTGATAGTATCTTAAATTTAATGAAATATTGAGTCCCTACAACATGTAGACTCTAACCATTTTCCTATCTCAGAAATGTTTATTTCCAATTAGTTTGTTTCCTTTAATATGTTTTTAGGTTTTATCCTTACAGCTAAGTCTTTAAGCACATATATGATTATTTCTTTAAAATACATTCCTAAAAGTGAGATAAGGCCACAAGATATACACAATTTTAAAGCTTCCGATACACATTGCCACACTAGCTTCCAGTTGTACCCATTTACATTCCAACCAGTAAAGGACAGTACTCTCATCTACACTTGCTATTACTATGTAAATCCAACCTAATAAAACACAATAGAAAAGAAAAGAGTTACTTCATGGTTATTTTGATTTACTTTTCAATACCAGTAATGATGAGCATTTTTATATTTACAGTCATTTATAATTATTTTTGAAGTACCTATTTATGAATTTTAAAAAAGTGATGAGGTCATTGATGATGAATTCATTATCACCAAGCCAGTATTACAAGAAATGATAAAAGGACTCCTTTAAGCAGAAAAAAAGACAAATCAAACAAATGAAAATCAAAAATATGAATAATATTGGGAGGGTTATCACTTTGTGACGGGTGTTAAATGGCTACTCAGTATGATGTTTTGTACACCTGAAACTAATATAAAAAATAAAATAAAATTTTAAAAAATAAATAAGCTGGAAATAATTATGTACCTATCAATAATCACTTTAAATGCAAATAGGTTAAATGCTCCAATCTAAAGACACAGGGTACCTGAATGTGTAAGAAAAGACCAATGTAGATGCTGTCTACAAGAGACTCACCGCATATTGAAACACACACACAGACTGAAAGTAAGGGATGGAAAAAGACATTTCATGCAAAAAGAAATAAGAAAAAAAGCTGGAGTAGCAATACTTATTGGACAAAATTGACTTTAAAAAGAAGACCATAATAAGAAGAAACAAATGAAGGACATTACATAATAATAAAAGGATTAATACAAAAAAAGGACAAAACCCTAGTAAACACTTATACACCCAACATAGAAGCACCTAAATATATAAAGCAAATATTGACCAACATAAAGGCAGAGATCAACAGTAACACAATCAGAGTAGGGGACTTTAATACCCTACTGACACCAATGGACAGATCTTCCAGAAAGAAAGTCAACACAAAANGGGGGAGGGGGGTTGTTACTTTGTGAGGGGTGAAAAGGATAACTATTGCATTGTTCTGTACACCTGAAACTAATAACAAAAAAATAATAAAAAAGAAGTACAAATTTGTTGTTATAAAGTAGTCATGGGGATGTAGGTATAGCACAAGGAATACAGTCAATAATCAATTGTAGTAACTATGTATGGTGTTAGATGGGTACTAGATTTATCAGTGTAAAGATGGGAGGGGAGTTGAGGACAGGTTGAAAAAGGGGAAGGGATTAAGAAGTACAAATTGGTAGTTATAAAATAGTCATGGGATGTGAAGTAAAGCAAAGGGAATATAGTCAATAATATGGTAATAACTATGTATAGTGCCAGGTGAATACGAGATTAGTCAGGGGGATCACTTCTTGAATTATACAAATATCTAACCACTATGCCGTACACCTGATATTAATACAAAATAATATTCAATGTTAACTGTAATTGAAAAATTAATATGGGGGAAAGGGGAATAAGAGGTTCAAATTTCCAGGTATAAAACAAATAAATCATGAGGATATAATGTACAGCATGAAGAATATAGTCAATAATATTGTGATAGCATAGTACAGTGTCAGATAGTTGCTGGACTTAACAGTGATCACTTCTTTAGGTATATAAATGTTGAACAACTATAATGTACACATGAATCTGATATAATGATGTATGTTAGCTATATTTTTTAATAAAAATCTTTTTTAAAAGATTTAAAAACATCAATTAAAAAATGGGCAGAGAATGAATCTGAACAGACACTTCTCCCAGGACATACAAACAGCCAACACATATATGAAAAAATGCTCAACTTCACTAGCTATTATGGAAATGCAAATCAAAACCATAATGAGATAGCACCTCACACCTGTATGATTATCAACAAGACAAATAATGACAAGTGTTGGAGAGGTTGGGGAATAAGGAACACTCATATACTGCTGGTGGGAATGCAGACTGGTATAGTCAGTATGGAAAACAGTATGGAGGTTCCTCAAAAAATTAAGAATAGAAAAACCATACAGGCCAGCAATCCCTCTCCTGGGTATCTATCTACTCAAAAAATCTGAAAACATTTAACCATAAAGATATATATATATATATATATATATATATATATGTACCCTTATGTTCATTGCAGCATTATTCAGTGGCCAAGACATGGAAACAACCAAAGTATCCTTCAATAGATGACTAGATAAAGATGTGGCACACAAACACAATGGAGTATTACTTGGCCATAAGAAAAGATGAAATACTGCCATTTGTGACAACATGATGGATCTTGAGGTTATCATGCTAAGCGAAGTAAGTCAGACAGAAAAAATTGAGAACCATATGAGTTCACTAATATGTGGGATATAGAACTGAAAGCAACAAATGAACAAGAGAAACAAACAAAAACTCATAGACTCAGACAACAGTTTAGTGGTTACTAGAGGAAAAGTGGGGAGGGAGAGACAGAAAAGGGTAAAGGGGATCAAATATATGGTGACGGACAAAGATCTGACTTTGAGTCATGAACACACAATACAATACATAGATGATGTATTATAGAATTGTACACTTGAAACTTATANCACAGGGTACCTGAATGTGTAAGAAAAGACCAATGTAGATGCTGTCTACAAGAGACTCACCGCATATTGAAACACACACACAGACTGAAAGTAAGGGATGGAAAAAGACATTTCATGCAAAAAGAAATAAGAAAAAAAGCTGGAGTAGCAATACTTATTGGACAAAATTGACTTTAAAAAGAAGACCATAATAAGAAGAAACAAATGAAGGACATTACATAATAATAAAAGGATTAATACAAAAAAAGGACAAAACCCTAGTAAACACTTATACACCCAACATAGAAGCACCTAAATATATAAAGCAAATATTGACCAACATAAAGGCAGAGATCAACAGTAACACAATCAGAGTAGGGGACTTTAATACCCTACTGACACCAATGGACAGATCTTCCAGAAAGAAAGTCAACACAAAACAGCAGCCTTAAATGACACTCTAGACCAGGTGGATTTAGTTAATATTTTTAGAGCATTTCATCCCAAAGCAGCAGAATATACATTCTTTTCAAGTGTACATGGAATGTTTTCCCAGCTAGAGCACATGTTAGGTCACAAAACAAGTCTCAATAAATTTAAGAAGGCTGGAATCTTATCGAGCGTCTTCTCTGACAGCAATGATATGAAACTAGAAATCAATTACAACAAAAGAAAAAAACTGAAAAACACACAACCATATGGAGACTAAAAAACATGCTACTAAATAATGAATGGGTCAACAATGAGATAAAGGAAGAAATCCAATGATACCTTTGAGACAAATGAAAATGAAAACACAATAACCCAAAATATATGGGATAGAGCGAAAGCAGTCCAAAGAGGGAAATTTTAGCAATGCAGCCTACATAAAGAAACAAGAAAAATCTCAAATCAATAGTTTAACCTTAAATAAGGGAACTGGAAACAAACAAAAAAAGGGCAAACAAAGCCCAAAGTGAGTACAAAAAAAGAAATAATGATCAGAGCAGAAATAAATGAAATAGAGACTAAAAAAACAATATAGGCTCAATGAAAACATGAGTGGGATTTTTTAAAAGATAAAATCAACAAACCTTTAACAAGGCTCATGAAGAAAAAAAGACAGAGGACCCAAATAAAATCAGAAATACAAGAAGTGACAACCAACACCACAGAAATATAAAAAAATTAAAAAAAATACTACAAGCAACTATACACCATCTATTTGGACACTCTGGAAAAAACAGATAAATTCTTAAAAGCATACAATTTTCCAAGGGTGAATCAAGAAGAAACAGAAAATCTGAACAGAGATTATTACTACCAATGAAATCGAATCAGTAATCAACAAACTCCAAACAAACAAAAGTCCTGGACTAGATGGCTTCACAGGTAAAATTTACCAAACATTCAAACAAGAATTAACACCTATTCTCAAAGTATTCCAAAAAAATCCAATAGGAAGGAAGTCTCCCAAGTTCATTTTACAAGGCCACTATTACCCCAATTCCAAAACCAGAAAAAGACACAAAAAAAGGAAATTATAGACTGATATCCCTAATGAACATAGATGCAAAATTTCTCAATGAAATATTAGCAAACCAAATTCAGCAATACATTAAAAAGATCATACACCATGATCAAGTGGGATTTATTCCTGGTATGCAAGGTTGGTTCAATATCTGCAAATCAATTAACGTGATACACCACACAAACAAAATGAAAAATAAAAATCATATGGTCATATCAACAGATGCAGAAAAAGCATTTGACAAAATCCAGCATCCATTTATGATAAAACTGTCAGCAAAGTGGGAATAGAGAGAACATATCTCAACATAATNTTTATTATAAATTCTAAAAAGTGGTATGCCAGGTCACAAGATATACAAAATTATAAGGCTTTTGACATAGTTTACCAAACTATTTTCTAGTTATACCAGTTTACAGTCTAACTAGATCATTTTTATTTTCTTCTTTGCAATTTTCTGAATTTTATAAATTTCATACAACAACCATGCATCACTTTTATAATGAGGAAAAATATAAATTGTTTTTAATGGTAAATTTTGTATTTGTTAGCACCAAACAAACAAAACTGACTGTCTATATTAATATAAAATAGGAAGGGAGACCATAACAAAGTATTAGACAGGTGCCAAAGAGCATAGGGCACATACTCTAGAAGGCAGAGCCTCAAACCATGTCATCCCTAGTTCAGCTGTATGAATGTAGACATGCTCTGAAGAACAAGTAGCAGGCTGGATCAGCTCTATAGCAGAACCATACTGAAGAGACTTGAAGCTTTGGGAAAATCCACAAATGCAACCCCAGGGATTCATCCAATCTGCCCTCTTAGAATCACATGATACAGAACCCTCAGCTCATACCCCTGACAGTCTCACAAACTACTTACCTTTATAGAGTTGAACAAAAGGCAGGGGTGATTGCACAGTTTTTTAAGAGCTCCTATACATATTAGATGAGGACTATTTTCCAACAACCCTTCAAGACAGAATCTGACAGTCTGAGAATTCAACAGCTTTCGATAAAGCTCAATCTGTAGTGCCCCTGGTCGGCAAAAGACTACATTCTCTATTTTAGGTGGAAGATATTTATTTATGACTTCTTGGGTCCTTCTGAGGAAAAACGGTCCAGTGAGGCAAGTAAGTTGGACTGCTCTTCTCTCTCCTAATTCTTTTTCTTCCTGTGGAAAAATAGGAGATTAAAAGTATTATAGACAAAAATCTTGTAGTAAAAATGAACATTAAATATTTTATAATGATAAACTAGCTACTCCCTTCAGTTTTCTTTTTTAACAGGAGAAATGAAATACAAGTTTGGGAAAGGATGACCAACCATTATCTCTTTAAATGTTCAGCATAATCTTTTAATTAAGTGAAGCTACAGTATCCTGAATCCTTGTTTATTTGGCTGTTGGCATATTGCGAGCCATTAGAATCAATAATCTACAAACTGAATTATTCCGAAAGCTTTTATGTGAAGACTACGATGGTATACAGTCCTAAAATCAAAGCAAAGAATTGATACAGCAAATTCTTGGAAGTAAATATTTTGACAAGTTATTGATCCTAAAATTAAGCCTACAAGAAATTACTGNAAAAAATAAATAAATAAAATCAATAGAATTTAGCGACTGACAATGTTGGAGAAGTGAAGGAGAAAGTGAGTCTAGAATGATAGGTGTTTTGCTTACATTATGTACCACTCATCAAGCCAAGGAATAATGAAAAAGGATCAGGCGTGCAATGGCAAAATGATGAATTTTGGGACATGTAAAGCTTAAAGTCTGATAGGTCATCAGGATAGGTTTAGATGTCCATTAAACAGTTAGAAAGAAGGATGTGGAAATTAGTAGAGTGAATTGGAATAGAGAGAGTTGTAATCAATACTATATGGGTGATAGTTTAAAACTACAGGGAATAGAGATAACACATGAAGGGTGTTTAGAGTGAAAAGGAGGCTAAAAAGAAAACCATAAAGAATATCAACATTTAAGGGACAGTAAAAGGATTCTGAAAGAAATAGGTGTTATATATCAGAAAACATTTCTAGGTTTTAAAAAAATACATGTATTTACATTTAATTTTTCTTAAATAAAAACTTACAGACACATTGTTAAGAAGTTTTAAAAATACTGGGAGCTGGCCAAAAAAGAAAATAATTTACTTTTAATGTTTTCTACTTCAGGAAAAAAAGGAGCGGGGAGGGAGTAAGGACATAGTCTAAGCTACAATTCCATGAGAACTTACAGGAAGTTTATTAAATTAACCTCTTACTTTTCAGCAGGACGAAGTCCGTGGATAACTGCTAAGAGCTTTGTCAGCACCTGTAGTTTTCCTGACTCCTCCTCAGCAAACATGAGAGGGTTGTAGTCAGCAGGGAACACATTTATCAAGCCTTCATATAGACTCTTTTCTTCATTTCCATTCCAAGTTGAACTACATTCTTTTTCCTAGTCAAAAGAATGATTGTTAACACTGGTTCATGTTTTGTTTTGTTTTTAATTGGGGGGAAAAAGTGCTAAAATTATGGGGGGGAAAAAGTGAAGATTAATAGCTACCTGAAAAGACCAAACTAAAAATCATGTAAATCTTTATAGGTTACGATTTGGTTATTTCTTTTTTTTTTTTTTTAAGATTTTTATTGGGGAATTCGGGAAGGGGAACAGCCAAGTTGTTGTCCTTCGATCTTAGTTGT